TCTCTCTTAACTTAGTGCCACACTATATGACCTTGTGCCCTAGCACTCCACACGTGGTACAAAGATTAAAGATATCCACCAATTGTGAGAGGAATTTCTAGAATAAATGGAGCCCTTAGGTTCACACTAAACACAGAGGCTCTCACAAAAATTGTTCGTTCCCACATTAGTCTGTTATGATTGAGGATCCCTTTTGATTTGTAGTTGGAATTGAAATTGAAATTTTTTGAAATCAGAATCGAAATCAAAATGATCTATTCTTATAATTTATTTGGTTCAGATAGGAATGGGAATGAGAATTAGAATAGATTCATTCAACAGTTTTTGACTATTTTTTATTTTAATTATTATTTTATATTTTTGTCAGAATGGACTGTCCATTTATCACTAGACAGTTAAACCGTCAACCCAGAACGGGATTCCATTCCCAAGAGAGGGGAATTGGGGGGGNGGGGGACATTTCTGTAGGAATGGGAATTAGATTCTGATTCCACATAACCAAACAGTTAGAACTGGAATGATTCATTCCAATTCTGATTCTAGACCCCTATTCACAAACCAAATGAGCCCTTAGATTCCATTTTGAAACATTTAATTGGTTAATCTAACTTGACCTAGAATACTTTGAGCCGATAGATCTCCCGTCCTATAAAAATGATCGAAGATTTGTTTTTCTCCATAAGATCCTAAATACTCTAAAACACCTAGATTTCATTTCAATTTTTATTATTGGCCAAAAACTTCAAGTCCTAGATCTATTTCTTTGACCCAACTCTAGACCCATCAGACACCACTAATGACCCTTAACCACCACCAAACACCTATCCACCAAGTATCACCACTTATCTCTCCCATTTACACCTCTATCAACGAAGATTCTATTTTAAACTCTCTTACTGGCCAATACACTCACCCACTAAAATCTTGGTGATGTAGGCACTTCTCAACCAATCAAGCCTAGCCAATTTCCTCAAGACCTTCAAAAACTCCACCATCCAGATCCTTGCCCAAGAATCCTTCATTTACCCTTCCATGAGGCAAAATTTCAATTCGATCCTACGAAACACTCAACCACAAAATCCTCGTGCATTTCCCAAACAATCAGACCTTACGAAATAACAAAATGATTTAGGACCTTCAAAAACCCCACCAAAGATTCCACTTTAAATGATTTCATTTAGCCTTTTTCAAGGAGTAATTGATGAAAGAGAAAAAACCAACACATACTAGAAATTAGGGGTGCTCACGGTTTGGTTAATCGAACCGTGGACCTATTTTTGAAACCAAACCGGTATTACTGGTTTCTGGAAAACTGGTAACCAAAATTGAATTAAAGCCAACTAATTAATTGGTTGATCAATTTAGTTTGTTGCTTTTTTTATATTTACAATACATATTATTAAAAAATATATAAATATATAATAAAATACTTGAAATATATATATATAATATTATATTTTAAATAATAAATAATATATTATATATTATAAATATATGTCTATGGGTCATTTACTAGAACACCCCCTTTAGTTTCATAAATTTACTTAAACCTACCTTATAGTTTGCATTTTGCTACAACACCCCTTATAGTTTGCAACCTATGTACTTAATCGACCTTTCATTAAGAATTATTTGTTTTGCCATATGAAAATAGTAACATGATCACCTAAACTTAGTGGAAAATGTTTAAGGGAATGGACCCTTAGTTGTTTATTCCAAAAGTACCCCTAATTGATTAGAAAATGTTCGAGAGTATGGATCCATGGTTGTTTATTCCAAAAGTACTCCTAACATTTTTTGTATAGAAAACTAAATTGATTAAATAGAGAAAAATAGAGTGGTTGTTTGTGTTTTACTAGGGGAAAAATGGTATTTTTGTTTTTAGTTTGTTTTGATTAAATTTATTTGAATGGATGTTAGTGTTAAAACTATCATTTTCCACTTTCATCTAACGGAAGGTCGATTATGTAAATTGATTGCAAACTATAGGGGATGTTTTAGTAAAACACAAACTACGGGGTAGGTTATAGTAAATTCATGACACTATAGGGGGTATTTTAGTGAATGGCCCTTTATTTATCTATAATGCATATTTATTAATTTATAATATATATAAAATATAAAATATATATAATATAAAAATATATATAATATGCATAAATATATACACCCATTCACAATTAAGCACATAGCTGATGGTAGTATTGAGAGGTATAAGATGAGGTTGGTTGCAAAACAATATACCCAGGTATATGGAATTGATTATCTATAAACCTTTTATCTAGTGGCAAAAACGAATTCCATTAAAGTTTTACTATCATTAACAATTTCATACTCTTGAGCCTTATCCAACTCGATGTAAGAAATGTCTTTTTGAATGGGGGACTTACAAGAAGAAGTTTATATGACTCTCCTATTTGGTTAAAAAAAAATATTTATATGGACTAAAGAAATCTCCAAGGGAATGGTTTGACAAGTTTAGGGATGCAATGTTGAAGTTTGGGTATTCTTATTCTCATTTTGACCATACACTTTTGATCAAAAGGAAGGGCAACTTGCTAACTACTTTGATAGCATATCTAGGTGACATTGTGGTGATAGGAAATGATGCAATCAAGATTGATCATCTAATGGTCCGTTTGGTTGTCAAGAAAGGATGGGAAATGAAGGGAAATTTATTTTCCCATTCCTGTCAATCTGTGTTTGGTTGTTGAAACCAGTTATCCCATCAAATCCATTTCCCAATGTTTAGTTGTTGAGAAAATTTTTGCAAGATTCTTCAATTTCACAATACAAGTAAAATGGCATTTGAGTGGCTACTAATCAAAATGGGAGAAGTCTGATTTATTTTTTTATCAAAAAACATAGGAATAAGAACGAAAGTTACTTCATACTTGAGAGTTGGTTGATCCAAGAACAGATTTGGAAAAGAAATTTATGTCATTAGGCCAATACCTCATGAAAATTTTTAAATACTTGTTAGACCTGCAACAAACCACTTTAGGTTTAGTAGATCTAGACAACAAACAAGGGTTTAGAGCAAAAAAATAATAATAGAAGGTGTTTAGATCTACAACAACAATAACAAGTGGGTTAGTAGATGAAGAAGACATGGGAAGAAGACAACTTCAAAGACAACGGATCGGACCTTCGCAAAGGATGAAGATGACAACTTCGAAGACAACTTTGAGCTCCTTGGACGTTAGGTGACAAACACATGGAAAGAAACGACACAAACAGAATACATCTACAACGTTACCTTTGCCGAACCAGAAGAAGACAGTGACCTGGCTCCTTACCATTTAAGGATCTAAACTCGACTAGAGGGAGAAAGAGAATGAGATTTTTAGGTGAAGAAAATACAAAACAAAATTTAAATGGCGTGAAACGGGGATGAAAGTGATGAATGGATGCCCTACCTTTGCTAGAGATGAATGTTTCAATGATCAGAGTTTTGATCATTGCAAGGGTAGGAGATGAAGGTTTCAATGCACCCTCAATAGATTTTTCTTACTCTTAGCACACTAGTTTGTTTCTCAGTGGGGTTGCACCTATTTGGTGAGACCCCATGACCCAAAGTTTGAGAAGTTACTTCTCGTCACATCTCATTCTTTCACCCAAAACAAACATGAGAAAATATGAATCTTGGGCGAATATTCCTATTTTCTCATTCCAATCGCACAAACCGAACAGACTATAAAGGAATTCCTGTATAAGGAATTTAAGATCAAGGATTTGGGAAGTTCATGCTATTTTTTGGGAATTGAAGTGGTTAGGTCAAAGAATGAAATTTTCATTTTCTAAATGAAGTATATTCTATATTCATTTTCTAAATGAAGTATTTTCATTTTCTAGTTGGCAAGTTATTATACTTATGTTTGATTAGACCAAACATATCTTATGCAATTAGTGTGGTTAGTTAGTATATGCCTGTTCCCAAGACAACCAATTTCACATGAAACACCCTGGTAGAGGAATCTTGTATGCAAACCATGGGCATATGAAGGTGATAGCATATACTAATGCAGATTGTGTTGGCTCATTGGATGATAGGAGGTTAACATTTGGTTTTTGTACCTTTTGGTGGAAACATTGTGTCTTTGAAAAGTAAGATGCAATTGGTGGTACCTAGGTATAGTAAAAAACAAAAATATAGAGTCATGGCTCATGGTATCCTTGAATTTTGTTAGATATGTTTCTTACTGGAAAATTTTGGAGTAGAAGTCGAAAAGCAGACTCTATTGTGACAACCAAGCTGCCATTACCAAAACTCATAATCCAATACAGCACAATTGAACTAAACACATAGAAGTGGACGGGCACTTTATTAGGGAGAGAGTTTTATTTGGTGAAGTGCGTCTTCCTTACATTGCCTCTCACTTACAACTAGTTGATATTCTTATAAAAGGAAGTTGGAAAGAATAAGATGGAGAATGATGTTATCAAGTTGGGTATGATTAACATCTACACCCAACTTGAGGGGAGAGTGTTTAGTTTGTGGGCTGTTTATATGACAAGCTTGTATAATGGGCTTAAGTTATGTTATCTTTCTTTTGTTTAGTTAATGGGCCCTTTAAGTATTGGGCCTATGTTAAGTTGCCATTCTTTAAGTTAAATTGTCTCTTTGTGTTGAGACCACATGTTAGGGCCGTGGGGGTGTTTTAGTCCTTATCTTATATTATTGTAATTAGAAACAAATTTATAAGAAAAAAGGAGTTTGGAGTGGCAGATAAGATCAGAAGGCCTCCCTTTCAATTTCTCTCGTTCTTCTCTTCTTGTTCTCCCTTCTTCTCTCTACAAGGTTTTTTTTTTTCCAGTTTGTTTCTATTTTTGTTTGTTATTGAGAGCTACAGTTTACAACTAACAACTTCCCATATACCACCTTGGGAAAACAAGCATAAGTTTGGTTGCACATAAAAAGAAGAAAATGAATGATTCCCTAAAGTTTCTATTTTAAGTTCATGTGGAAAGCAAATGTTTTTTTTTTAAACAAATGACACTTCTCAAAGATGTTCATCCTCTCCATTCATAAAAGAATCAAATAAATACAACAATCTAAGTAACCCGTTGAACGGATTAGATGGCTGAATAGTTCAACCACCTGGGGCCAATAGGTCACTAGTCATCCAATTGGCCAGGTCAATGACAAGTTAAGAACATTGGATACAAGAATGCAAGTGTGTGTTCCTCTATATGCTATATGGATTAGAAAAGGTACTATAACTCTTGAGAAGTTCTTAAGTTGCAAAAATAAGATAGATTAAAATCATCCAAACACCAATTCTTTTTCTTCTGAATCTCTCCTAAGATGATTCGAAATGGGGTAAAGTTATGTAATATATGTATGTATGTATTACAGTGAAAGATATCATAGTTTATGTAAGATGATTTGGGCACCATATTGAGGTTGAAGAGTTATGATAGTGTAAGGGGCATGAGCATAGGAAGGTGATAGCTCAAAAGAAAATTGTTGTAAGATCAAGGCCAATGCCATCTTTGCTTCTGTCATGGCAAAGTTCTGACCTATGCATATGCGAGGACCCCAACCAAATGGGAAGAATGATACTTGATTCTTTGTTGCCTTTGAAACTCCCGATGAAAATCTCTCTGGTTTGAATTCTTGTGCATCTTCACCCCAAAGTTCTCTACTATGGTGGATGAGAATTGTGGGCAACAATAATTCTACTCCAGGAGGCAAATAGATACCCCCTAGTTTTATCTTCTTATAAGTATGCCTGGTGAGTATAACTGCTGGTGGGTATAATCTAAGAACTTCATACAGAATCATGGTTACCTGCATGCATTAATTAATTGAAGATTATAAGAGTTCTTAAATTGCATCAACATTTGGGTCTTTCATATATTGAAGCATATTGGCAATATATAGTTTATTATAGTAAATATAGAGAAAGTACTTACAACTTTTAAATGGTTTAGCCCATCAAAATCTGGCTTGTCTTTTCCAAAGGCTTGCAAGACTTCTTCCCTTGAACGTATTTGCCACTCTGGATGCATACTCAACACAACCATGGTCCACACAAGCAAATTTGCTGTTGTTTCTTGTCCTGCAAAGTAAAATAGCTTGCATTCCTCTATCACATCATCAATGTTCATACCAAGGTTCTTTGCATTGTCATGTTCTTGAATCTCCTTAAAATTGGATTCTAGAAGTAACCCTAGTAAGTCATTTTGACTGGCCTCCCCTAACTTTATAGCCTTCTCTCTCTTGTTGATGATTCCTCTCAATAGACCTCTCACTTCTCTGTCAATTTCTTTCATCCTATTGTTCCTTTTTGTTGGTAATAAGCTGCAAAAACAAGATTACAATAATGAAGATAATTATATTTACTACCTTGGAGCTGTAACATTCCTATCTACCAAAAATAAGAGAGATGTAGCATATATATCCTTTATTTCCCATGCACAACTACATATCTGGTCCAATTGTCCTTTGTTCTAACCACCAAGAACCATGGCCAATTCAAAATTTTTTTAGAGAAAAATCCCCATGATTCTTTATAGAACCCATTTGAAAAGATAATGCCTCCATATAATCAATAAAAAAGCTAGAGGTAGATAGGGGCAAAAATATTAATTACCAAATTTTATGGAAAGAGTATAGAATTAGTAGAGAAATTAAAAAACAACATAATTAGAGAGAGATGCATGAAACCACTAAATATAGAGAGGAGTTAAAAAGGACTTTAGCACATGATCACATATTTTGTGTCCATCAATATACACCATGTTCCATGTGTTACGGTATCATACATTTAGGCTATGTTTGGTTTGAAGGAAAAGGTAGGGAAAAGAAGGGAAAAACAGCGGAACTTATACAAGGTGTGTAAAGTTTTCCCTACCTTCCCCTTCCTTTCCTTGCATTTTCCTTCAAACCAAACATAGCCTTAGAAAGTTGGATTATTGAATTAAATCAAGCAGTTGAATGCAATAGGAACACTTATATCCTACCTGTAACCTGGTATATATATGGATAGGGCAGCCTGGACAACAAGTTTGGCTTGCTCATTTTGAAGTTGAAATATTCGTCTGCCTTCATCATAGCTGCTACCAAATGCTGTCCTAGAGATAACATCTCCAGTTAAATTTTGGAACTCAGGCCATACATCCAATTCACAGCAACCTTTCAAGGCAACCAGTTTCTCCCATCTTGTGATCGTCTCAGAACAGCTTGTATAAAATGCAGGTAGCATCCTCTATTACATACACCAAACAAGAAAAGAAAAAATGTTATAATAAATACCATTCTAACATGAGAAGTTGCAATGTTCAACTAGTGGTTAATAGCAGGGGTGTCAATTGGACTGGATTTGGTCCAATCTGATCTAGTCCAATGTGAGTCAATTATAAATGGACCAGGTCCAATTGAGTCCAATGAATATTTTGGATCATTTTGGACTGGTCCAATTCAATGTCTGAACACCATCCAATTTGTTCAAATTCGTTTTGATTTAGATTTGTTTCAACCCAAACCTGGTCCATTGACACCTATATTCTATCTTATATCAATGGACCAGATATTGGCTTAATCCAACTCAATCCAATATAAATTTATTATGGATGGACCAGGTCCAATCCAATCTAATAAATATTTTGGACTGGATTGGTTCAATCCAATATGTCTTGTTGGTCCATCCAATCCGGTCCAAATTGATTTTGGACTGGATGGGATCCAATCCAAAACTAGTCCATTGACACCCTTAATAGTTAATGAGACATGTCAACCTATCACCCAATCAAGTTTTTGGATCTATTTAGCTCACAACCATTCTTGCAAAAAAAAAAAAAAAAAATAGTCAACTCAGTCAACAACATGATGACCACGTTAGAGGGTTAAGGTTAGGCATTAAAATTCTTCTTCTATTCCCTTAACAAATCACTTCTTCTTAAGTGATGCCGATAAGTTTTTTAGTGTATTTCCTCTTTTCCATGTATAACAAGTATACTTATAAATCAAATTAAGTAGAGCAAGAAAGAAGGATGGAGAAATTATTAAAAAAAAAAACCTTTAACTTCTCTATATGGAATGCAGGGTTGATGATCCTTCGGTGTTTGGCCCACTTTTCTCCCTCGTAGTTTGCAAGCCCATTTGCTAACAATTTGATGAGTTGATTTAATTTGGGCTTCTCGAAGTGTCCAAACTTGTTAGAAAGAATATCCTTTATTAGTTCTGGATGCATAATATTTACCCTGGGAGTTCTCCCAAACCACGTTACTGACATCTTACCTGCATTTTAAAATAAGTGATAGTTCAGTAGTCATGGAACTAACCGATACAACTTGTCAACCAAAAACTATATCTTCTAAGAAAAAGAAATCGGCACTGGATAAGCTATTTATCTGATGAGTACAAAACATCACTCAATCATATAGGCTGTTTTTGAAAACGATATATGCAAATAAGTGTGAATACAAATATATAGAGTGTAAAACGGTCCATATATATTGTAAAGTATGGTTAGTTTTGCATTCACAAATTTACCTTCTTACCAAATAGATTTTTAGCTGTATTGATGCAAACACACAAATTCCAATAAAGCACTAACAGATTTACTTCTTTTTTATTGATGTACTTTTATATCTTATTATCAATATAAATATGCATTGGAAAATGCAGCCTATAGGTTTTCCATGTCAAGCAATGAAGGTGTAAATGGGTGTCTTGGCCTGTATTCGGTTAGACCCATTTCTGACCCATTAGGCATTAGAAAAATACACACATCTGCTCTCAACCCAAATTGATTCGGTTTATGGGGTCTAACCCATAAGACCCAAATAATATTGAAATGCCTTTTTAGCATGGTAATTTAACAATAAGGCTGTAATGTCTCTTGCTTAATGCTACACCACCAGATAATTTTGGATATTTTATATGCACCATTTTTATTTTTTTAATGACAAAATTAATCTTGACCAAGCTAGTCTATTGGTATGTTCTATTAACTAATTTTGATATGATAAAACTACTATTGATTTAATTTTATTTCCTATTCCATGTTCACTCAACTTGCAACCCACCAACAACTCAATTTGTCCAACAACATTAATTCAAACTAGTGAATGGACGGACCTAATTTTGGAATTTTGGTTTAAGGAATGAAGTTGAATGGAGGATCATCATTATATCTTGCAAATACCATTACTTTTTTTAAACAAAAAATGTCTGACATGGGAGTGCCTAGAGATATAAAAGTGAGAATAGCATAAGTTTGAAGAAAAAGGATCAGCAAAGTGGAGGGGTCAGAGGGATATTACAATGATAAACTTTTAATTATAATATTTTCTCATCATACTTCTCTTCAAATTCTAAACACAATATTTTCTCTACTATACCCATTATATGATGGATAACAATGAGGGTGTTTGACAAGTCTTTCTGTGTTCAGAAGACCACAATGTGGTCTTTTCCCATTTAGCAATAAAAGACGGAAAGCCCAAAATATCCGTGTCCCAAAAGGTTCAAAAGCTTCAAAATGAAGTTTTTCATTTTTTTTTTTATTTGAAAATTGGACTGAATTGGCCGGTCGAACCATTTTTGGGAACTGGTCAAGCCACTGGTTCCATTTTAGCCCTGAACCATTATTTTACAAAAAATAATTAAAATGGTCAGTAAACCGTTGACCTGAACAGTCAAACCGCTAAACTGTTCGAAAGATAAGAGAGGAATTGAGACAAAATATCAGATCTGAGCTCACTGATATCTGGGAGAGAGAGATTGGAGAGAAAGAAAGAAGTTATCAGATCTCACATCTCAGATCTAAAATCAAATAATGAGAGAGATTTGAATGGACCGGAGAGAAACGCCACCCTTGCAGATCTGTTGCCACGGCCGAACATAGTCTCTTCCTCCTCCTCCTCCTCCTCCTTTCCTTCCTTTCTTTCTTTCTTTTCCTCAACTAACAGCTACCCACCTCTCTCTTTTCTCAATTTCTCATAACCTTCTACTATCTAAGGCTTAAACGCCTCAGACTGCTTGAACTGTTTGGCCCAAACAGTCAAACCACTAACCCAGAAACCGGTGGTCAAAGGAGTTACATTTCCGAATCAGTTTTTAAAATTTTGCTTTCATGTTTAAAATCTTTCATTTAACAGCCCAGTAGACCACAATAGACCAAGATACCTACCAGACGATTTTGATCTTAAGACAATTAGACCCCAAAAGCTTAATAATCCACTAGCACTAGACACTGCTTTATTTCTCTCGATCTTTATACACTAAGCATATATTAATCCACTAGACACTGATTTATTTCTCTCGATCTTCATACACTTAAAGCATATATTAATCCACTATATTAGGGTAAAATGTAAAAACCTCCCATGGGTTTCCTGACAATCATATAAACATCACCTGTGTTTTTACGTTAACAAAAACATCCCCTGTAGAATTGAAAAAATGTACAATTATCTCTCTTTAGTGATCTTCCCGATAATAACTGAAATTACAAAAATGACCTTATTACTCTCTAAGGAAAATCTAGTTTCTTTTTTTCTCCAACTCTTCCCCATTTCTATTCTATTTGCAATCTCAAATCCGCCTTTGTTTCCTCGTAAAATCATCAATCATTCTGAGCATCTTCAGTCACAAATCCAACATCTTTGATCCCTTGCCCATCAATTTTTTATTGCACCAGTTCGACAACTCATGTGTTAAAAGAAAACATGCCTGAGACGATAGAAATATGCATTATATATAAATATATATTTATAATATATAATATATTATTTATTATTTAAACTATAGTACTTTATATATATTTCTAATATTTATTATATATTATATATTATAAATAATAAAAAATCGATGAATCAAACCAATGGTTAACTGAACTGGTCAACCAGTTAAGATTTGGTTTCAATTACCGGTTTTTCATAAACTGTTAACTTCAGTTGATTTCAAAAATAAGCCCACGGTCTGAGTAACCAAATCGTGAGCACGCCTACCTTTAATAGTCCAAGCAAAATGTGGTTCAGGGTATTTTGGTAAATATACACTAGGATGGATTATCTTAAGGGTAAAACTGGTATTTAAAAAAAGAATGCATTACGTACGTCAGCGCAATTTGTTTGAAAAGATAATGGAAGGAAGGTACCTATAGATTCATTTTAAATTATAGGGGAGGTTTTTGATACAACAAAAATATAGGGGAGGTTTTTATGATTGTCAAAAAACTTAGGGAAGATTTTTATATTTCACCCAATAAATAAATAGAAAAACCTTGGAGGAATTAATGTGTGAGTTATTTTGAAGTCATCATTAAGGACATTATTGATCACCAAGAAAAAAAAAATTGGAAAATTACACTGCAGTCCACTGCAGAATTTTGAAATTATAACCTCCCATAATCTATTAATAGCCCCTCTATAAACCGCATCCTACCTGTGGATTTGTCATCAATCCACGGTCATGATTCATCCCGCCTGTACAATGGGCTAAGAATTCTGAAGTGAGCTGAACAGTCCAAAAAAATTAAGAGAAGTACGAACAGGCCCAATGCAAACTTCTAAATTCCACTGTAGATCTATAAACATTCAAAACGTCAAAAACCCCACTCTATACACCAATGCCCACCCGTGAATTGGCATCAATTCCGTGCTGGCACCTGCCCCAACTGTACTTTGGGCCTAAAAATTCTAACCCTAGGCTGAACCGTCATTCTCCCAAAAAATTTGACTAGATATCTTTATGAGCAGCTAAGCTTAAGGCTTCAACAACTTTTTTCAGGCTGGCGTTCAAGCTGAATATGTATCCTTCAGTGCATTGTTATTTCAAAGAACAAAGCACAAAAAAGAAATGGAAAAATACGGACAGGCCTGATGCAGATTTCTGAATTCCACTGCAAATTTATAAACATTCAAAATGTCAAAAACCCACACTCTATGCACCCATACCCATCCATGAATTAGCATCAATTCCGAGCTGGCACCTACCCTGAATGTACTATGAGCCTAATAATTCTGACCCTGGGCTGAACCGTCATTCTCCCAAAAAAAAAATTCCCTTGAAGAGATTGAAAGGCTTTTTGTCAAGGGACTAACTCCACATGCATCCCCCTAATGCTACACTAACTCACTAAAACACCTTGCTATTATAGGGGCCGAAGCAGCAGCATTACCACATACAGAATATTAGGAAAAATTAACAAAGAAATTAAAAAAAAAAAGATATTATATTGTCCCAAAGATTTAGGGATGCAATTAGAGGGGAAAGTTGTTCAATGAGATTTTAGTTTTTATTGACCAAAATATTTATATTTTTTTCAGATTTATGTGGGGTTCATAAAAAAAATTATTTTCATTGAGTAAGTGGTAACTTATCTCCAAGGTGGATAAATAATTTTCCTACTAGGAGATATTTACCAAAACTTTGGTGGAACGAAATTACCCCTTTAATAATGGCTTTTTATGGTTAAAATGGTAATTGTCTTATTTATCTAGAAAATAAAAGAACATGGATAAATACACTTGCCCATATAAATATTTCTCAAAAAACACTTACCTGGGTAAGTGACTTCCCAAAAAACGAACTGAGCCTTTATACTACTTTGGACGTACACTCCTTCAAATTTTGACAAATGCCCAACCTGAGCCCATCTAAGTTGAACCCCTACCCTAAAGATGGAGGTATAATGTTGCTATACCCTTTGTTGGACTCAAGATGGGGACCATAAGTTTCCCATAGTAAAGTGAATTATTGAATAACGATAACTAGCTTAACATCTTAATAACATAAGTTTCCCATCCAACAGTAGTTCCAAAGGACTGCCCATCTAACCCTATCACTCTCGGATCAATACCATTACAAATAAGAAAAATATAGGCTCAGTTTGAAAGAATACAAATATGTACAGTAGAAATACATACAAAATATAAGGCTTTAGACCGTATTTGTACTACTTGCAAACTGAGCGAAAATAACTAAAACTCACAATTAAATTAATTAAACTTTACCAACTGATACCAATGAAACGATCTGAAATTGTAAATTTGTAACACTTACCATAGGTTTTGATGGTTTGATGAGTGAAGGGAACAACACGGGGCACAATATTGTGAGAGAGGTTCATGGGCCTGGACCATGCTTCCTTCCTCATCCTCAGCTCGTCTTTCAGGTTTCCAGAAAGCAGTCTGTGTGGTGGGCCCTTGAGGCCCTGCTCCCTCAGGTTCCTCTCCAGCTTCATGGGCTTCCACCAAATTGAATACACCACACTCCAGATCCATGACAGTATCAGAACAGGGAATGCCAGGATTACAACAATCAAAAGCTCCGCCATATGAAGTTATAAACCCAAAACACACACACACGCAGAACAGAGAGAGAGAGAGATATGATGCTGGCAATGGCCTCCGAGGCTCTAAATAGAGCAAGGGAAAGAAAATTACGTCTTTACTTGCCACAATAATTATTTTGAAAATATGAAGGACAAATATTTGTGGGCCCCATGATCTTTCATGGAGGTGGATGGTGACTGGTGGGGAAAGCAATTTTTCCACAGGATTTGTCCCTATGGGGTGTGGATGAGAATGATTTTTCTCTGCAGAGATATAAATGGGATAAGGAGAGCATTCCCCGCCTCATGGGGTCCGATCCTGGTCCTTACCTGTGGGAATCCCCACCATACATGCAATTTCAAGCCATAGATAGTAAATGGGTTTAAGGCCTTGAAGTCCAAAACTTGGGATTTATGTTGAGTATTTTTTTTTTTTGTTATGAATTAATTAATGAATTTGTATTAATATTATTCTTAAAAATATGGTTGAATATGTTTGAACGTATGTGGATACATTTGAATATACTTAGATATATTTTTATGGGATTATAAATTATAACTATTTTATTTTTAATTTTTTCTGTAATGAAATAAAAATAAAATGAATTTAAAACATCACAAAAAATGGTGGGGAATGGAAATATCCTTATTCCCATTGGTGGGGACGGAACAAGGACGGGGATGGGGACTGAGACGGTGGTGGCTCCCTGTTCCCACCATGCCCATGCCCACGCCCGGTTGCCATTAATTCCTAGTGGTAAGAAATAAAGGAAGCAACTTCGAGAAAGAAAAGAAAACTAGAGACTCCCGTATTTAGAGATTTTTTTTTTTTTTTTTTGGGGGGGGGGGGAGGGGGAAGAAAAATGGAGACTCCCTTTGCTTAAAGATTCCCATTTTTATTGGTTAATTCAACAAAATAAATAAAGTAGGCAAATAGAGACTCCCAATTATCCTCTAAACTTAATTAATAAGAATGATAATTGTAGTTTAATGTTCCCTATCAATTTGAAACGTGTCCTTGTAATATAAAAAATGGAAAAGTTTTATATGCCATAAAGACATGCATGATACCAGAAAAACTTATAACCAATCAACAAACAGTCATCATAAAATTGATAACCAATCAGGGGTTTTAATTGGTCAAAACCTCTCCGATATGAGTTCACATCTCCACTCCATAGCACATCCCTTCTGTGTATTGAAAACATTTTCCGATGTTTTGATGATATCAGCATCGGGAGATGTTCTCAATACACGGCGGGGATGTATTGTGGGGCTGAGATGTGATCTCCTCCGGTATTATATATTTTCAGCATTCATAGATTTTTCATAGTGAGAAATCAACACGTAATATGGGTGGAAGGGTTGGTGCCCAACCTATATCAGTCAATACTGTTCAATTTGGACCACATGTTTTTGGAATGATTTACATTTGCTAGGTTCACTTAATTTTCCAAAATATTTTTTTTTTCGTTAATTTTCAAGCTTTTCATCTTCATCTAGATTCTTGTAGTGGTGGTTTTATCTACAAAAACACTTGATATCTTGCACCTTTGGTTGCAATGCAAATAAATTTGCACTAATGCAAAACCATGGCAGTGCAAATGATTTAAGTGTAAAGTCTGACCTATTTTTGTTTTAAATTTTAGTTAGTTGCAGTACAAATGAAGTAAATTAAGACATGAAGCAGAATAAAGTAAAATCCAAAAGAAAATTAAACAAGAATTTGCATTTTTATATTTGCACTCCAATGCATTTGTACTAGTGCAAATAAATTTGCATTGCAACCAAACACAGCCAAAAGGATAAAAACTCATTGGAATCAAGAGAAGAAGAAGAAGAAGAAGAAGAAGAAGAAGAAGAAGAAGAAGAAATCATTTTCTTTCTTTTTTTTTCATTTAGTCCTTCAATATTCAGTAGACTACATATATTAATTGATGTTTAAATTACAAGAATATACTGAGATGCTTTTGTTTGTATTAGTAGATCCATGGATTTTCCCAATTTAAATACTTTTTTTATGGAAGGAAAACCTATAAGATGGATCTATGAATGATCTATCAAATCCATTGATCCAACAACAATTTATGAAAAAAATGTTTTTTTTATGATTTGTGGTAATTTGTAAAAATAAAAATAACACAAAAACTGAATAACTTTCTTAATAATTACAATTTATGAATTAAATATCATATGTATTTTAGAAATTGTATGATAATTGTGTAAATTTTTTACTAGTAATTTATATATAGAAAAACAATGTATTTATTTTTATGGAAATAAAAACATATTATTTACAAGCTTACTTTACATTAATGATTATTAAAAATCTATGTAGCTATTAGCTATCACATTAAGAAACTAGAGAGATGAGTTTGTAATGGGTCGGGCAATCCACATTCGCCAGTGCTCTAAGAATCTAAAGTAGTGTAGTTTAGTCGAGTGTTTGGTGTGCGGGTTGTGACAAAAAGAGAGAATTTTGAGTTTCAAAAAGTCTCAAGTTGGTTTGGTTACATTTTCATGTTTTAGGGTCTCAAAAGAGCGTATAAAGAGGTAGGGCAAAGTGCCAAGAAAAAATTGGGTACTAACACCTAGCAACCTATTAAACAGATTAAATGGGTCATTAGTTTGACCACCAAGGCCAACAGGTCTCAAATCCATTGGTTCAATTGGTCGGGCCAATGATAGGTTAAAAACATTGAATACAAGATTGGATGTGTACATCATCTCTATATGCATATGAAATATAAAAGGTAGACTATAACTCTTGAGAAGTCCTTAACTGCAAAAAGTAAGATAAATTAAAACCATCCAAACATGCCAATTTTTTTCCTAGTCTCTCCTAAGATGATTCTGAATGGGGTAAAGAGAGAACTGCAAGTTTGTAGGTGTGTCCAATATGGAGCTTGAAACCCTAAGAGAGAAATTTATATTAAAAAAGTAAAAGGACCAAATTGTCCTTAGAGTACAAGAGAAGATAGTGTACAAGAATAAAATAAAATACAATAAGAGGTAAATTTATAGAAATAGCCCTCTCGGCTAACTCTCTTTATCTCTACACTCCCCCTCAAAGTGATGTTGATTCCTAGGCATCAGTTTGTCCATAAGGAAAAAGTGTCGTGCCCGCATCATAGCTTTCATCAAGAGATCAACAAGTTGGAGCCCAAAGGACACGTGGGGAAGAGAAATAGTGCCAACTTGAAGAAGATCATGAATGAAGTGGCAATCAACTTCAATGTGCTTTATACGCTCATGGGAAATAGGATTGGAAGCACTCTTGATTGCACTGACATTATCTACAAAGAGGGGAACTGATGGTGGTGACTCTTGTAGTATGTCATGTAGAAGAGCCCTGAGCCATATAATTTCACTACATACTGAGGACATGGTTCTATATTCGGCTTCAATTGAAGATTTTGAAACTGTAGATTGTTTCTTACACTTCTAAGCAATGAGAGATTTACCAAGAAAGACACCACCCCGTAGTGGAACATCAAGTTTTTGGACAACCAGCCCAATCATCATCAGCATAGGTAGTAAGGCTGGTTGATGAGGATGAGGAGAAGTGTAATCCATGAGATAGGGTTCCCCTCAGATACTTAATAATCTGATGAACTCCGGACATGTGGGGTTGTCGTGGAGATGGCACAAACTGGCTCACTATCTTGACTGCATATGATATATCCGACTGACTCATTGTGAGATATATTAAGCAGCCTACCAACTATCGGTACAAAGTAGGACCTTCAAGAGGAGAGCCCTTGATCCTTGCTTAATTTCAAATTAACCTCCAAGAGAGTATCAAAATTTTGGAGTCACTGAGTTTAGCCATTTTGAAAAAATCCATTGCATACTTATGCTAGTTAACAAAATAGCCATGGGAATTACGGGTGACCTCAAGTCCCAAGAAGTAGGTTAAAGGGCCCAAACCCTTCATCTTAAAGGAGTCATTAAGGAGTCTTTTCAGATCAATGATTCCTTGCACATCATTCCCTGTAATGATTATATCATCAACATATAGAAGAAGAAGAAGAGTCACACCTTGATTCTGAAGAAAAGTAAAAAGTGAGTGATCAGAAGAGCTTTGAATAAATCCCGCATCAGTGATCACAGATCTGAATCTCTTGAACCAGGCTCTGGGTGCTTATTTCAGGCCATACAGAGACTTCTTGAGACAACAAACAAGCTGAGGATTTGTGCCATATCCAAGGGAGGCTTCATGTAAACCATTTCCTTCAACTCTCCATGAAGAAATGCATTCTTCACATCCATCTAATGAATTGTACAGCCTATAATTACAGAGATGGTTAATAGGATTCTAACTGTAGTCATTTTCTCCATAGGAGAAAACGTCTCCTCATAGTTTATCCCATATTCCTATTTATACCCTTGAGCAACAAGTATAGCCTTGTACCTATCTAGACTTCCATCTGACTTCAACTTTACTGAGTAGACCTAACGGCTCCCAATGAGAGGCTTTAGGAAGAGCTTTGACCAATTCCTAGGTGTCATTCTCAAGAAGGGCTCGGATCTCAAAGTCCATGGCATCCTTCCAATGTGGAATTTCTACAGCCTGCTAATAAGTCTTGGGAATAACTGTGGTGGATAAGACAACAGAAAAAGAACTATGGTTTGGAGAATAACCATAGCAATTAGGAGGGCGAATAATTCAAGAAGAGCGACGCAATGTGGGTGCAGTGGGTTTAGTTGGTGGGTTAGGAGAACTTACAGGAATGAATGGTGTAAGTGGATCAACAATTGATGTTGAAGAAGGCAGAGGGGGCATAAGCTAATGTAGACTTTTGTCGTCTGAAGTAGGTCCGAAGTTGCTACACAGGTGATGTTAGAGCATTTAGAAGATTTGTAGAATCAAAGTTATGCAACAAAGAGACAGAAGGAGTAGGAAATTTAACAATATGCTCGAAGAAAAATATGTGTTCAAGAAAGATGACATTACAAGAAATCCTAATACGACAGGCTTCAGAATCATAAAATAGGAATCCCTTGTGGTCAAGATTGTACCCCACAAAAGCACATAA